CAGGGCGAGCGAGAGGACGGGAGACGGCATTTGAAGGCTCGATATATCTTCTACTATAAATACAAGCGTGCATCGATTTCTTTATTTATCTTCCGAATTTTTCCTATATTTTTTTTTTGGGGGGGGGGTGCGTTGTACGCACCCTGTATTTTTTTGGAGCCAAGTGTACCCCCTGGAGGCTCACGCCGCGAGATCAGGAGACCCGATAGGCTGCACGGGGAAGTATAATTGTGTCGTGGGAGGGACACGGCACAGGGCAACGCAAGTGCGCCAAAACAAATAGAGGAAAAACTGGGGGCCTCGATAAGTTGGGAGAGGCTATTTTCATCGTTAGGATTGGAAGGAAGGAAGAGGGGGGCGAGTGCGGGCGTATGTGTTTACACACTTCTGCCCCGAGAGAGCGTCTGATCGTGACCGTGACTCGGCGGCGCCGAAACCGTTTTACAGCGATGAATGCACCAGACGGACGCCACGACAGGAAGAAAGGTGCACTGTAAAAAATTTATATAGTAGATTTCCTATAAATGTATCTGCAGCAATTCACATATACATGTATAGCAATTTTACCATACACGCGTATGGTAACTCTACAATACGCGATAGTATTCTTACCATACAAGTATAGGAATTTTCCTATACACCTGTGTAGGATATGTACTATTGTGTGTGGCATTATCCCTACACATGTATAGGAATTTTCCTATACACTCAATGCTCTTTTAAAAAAGAAAAAGTTTTTTTTAACCACTTCCCCGCCGTTGCCCCCCTTCCTTGTCGCCTTCCTACCGCCTTTCGGTAATTTCATTTAAGTAAGCATTGATGTAATTTTGTAATACCTTACCGGACGGAGAGTTGAACCTCGGACTTCTGGTTTGCGATCCCGTCACGCTGACCACTAGACCACGGGGACTTGTTGGGAGGCGTGCCTCACCAACCCCAGGTCATCCCAGAGCCGCGCGCCGCCCCTCGCTGGGCCATTCCCAGAGGGCCAGCCAGGTGTCGGCGCGGACTCGGCACTCTTTCCGAGTCGCGGTGCTGGGGCTAGCCCACACCTTTGGGGATTTACTCCTAGATGTTTTGATGTCGAGTTTTGAATTTTACTTCCTGCCCTTACTTGAAATTCGATTATCCGAGTTTAAACTACTAAATAGACCAATATAGACTCTAATTGTGTCCAACCCTGTGTAGTGTGGCGTCAGGCGGCAGATATAAGCTCATAAAATGACCGCGCAGACCAAGATGTGTAAGGTAGAAAGATGTGTATATCTTTACGCGTTTTTTAAATTCCGAACATTGTATAGGAAAATTGTCATCATCAAGTAAATTTCCTACACATGTTAAGGAATATATGCCTACTAGACACGTATCGGAATTTTCCCATACTTTTCTAGAGATTTGCCTATACACTTCGAACTCTTCACATACGCATCTTCCGAAATGGGAAAATTCCTATACATTTATAGGAATTTTCACTTCCGATACGATGTATAGGAAATTTCCTATACATGCGTATAGTAGAATTCCCAACATTTTTTACAGTGTGTGGCAATGGGGACAATGAGTGCAGGAGGGACTCCCGTCTACGTCGTCCGTCACTTACAGCTGCTCGAAAAGGCAGCCCAGCGCACACAGTGAGAAAAAATTGTGCTAAATAAGTGTAATTACACTAATGTGCAGTAATAAGTTTGTGCAGGTATAAGCAGGTACATCAACTCGCACATTATTTGGCTGCTGTACTTTGTTCCTCCAGTTCAACTCGAGCAGGCATAAGGACTGCGCTTCTTTCTGGCAGTGCAGCGCGGCGACGCGTCGCTTCACCCCCAGATAAAGGCGATCGGATGTTGGGCCGGTCGATAAGATACCGGCGTAAGCAGCGCCCTGTGTCAACACACAGGCCCGCCGCCCGCCGGGCCCGCCGGGGCGCGCAGCGGTAACGCCGCGTGTGTGTGTGTTGTAAACGCAGTTAAATACGGCCACCTCCGCCGGGGTGTTTAGGACGTCACTTTTAATCCCTTGATCGCGCTGCGGGCGACCCGTTTTACGACTCCAATAACAGACGGGGAGGGACCTGGGACCTGGGCGGGCGGCTCCCGCCTGTCCCCAGCAGCCCACCGCACATGGCATGGACGCGGCGGGCAACGCTCCCGCGACAAGGTCGCAAAGGGGGATGCATTAATACTTTTGTATTTATACATTTGTGCTCCGCCACATGCGTGTCTCTCACGCACTCCTTGCCAAGTGCTCCACCCCCACGCCGCCGCGCCGCCCCTCCGTTCGACACGGCTGCATTGCGCCACACGGGACGGGACGGTGCAGGCGGGGCGCCCTCCCCCGCCACCCCACCCCCTCAGTCGTAGGGCGGCACACCACCGGCTTCGCTAAATATATCGCCGACAAAAGGACTCTAGGCCCTGCCCGGCCCTGCTCGGCCGTAGGGCCCTACAGATGAGCCAGAGATTAAGAGAGAGGCATCTGCAGGAGAGGACTGCAGGGGGGGCCTAACTGCACTCTGTCCTCCTCCTGTAAGGCAAGCCAGACTATCCACTCTCGTCCAAAGCCGCCAGCGATGCAGGCCCAGCAGGCCCTGATGCCCGTCAAGCCATCCCCAAAACGGCGCGCGGGCACGTCCGTCCAGAGCTGCTGCATTCCACAGCCACGCCCCCCCCCCTCTCCCCCAACTGCACCGGGCATGCTTCCAGTCAGAGGCGTACATGTATGCAGTCGATGCAGTCTCACTCTCTTTCACACGCGCAGCGCACAGCAGCTTGTTCGGCTTAGCATTCATTCGACTTGCTTTCTTCCAGTCGGTCAGAGAACTGTATCGACGACGCTACCGCGGCGTTCCGCGAAAAAGCAACCCCAAGCAAAAACTGCAGCTGGTGTGGAGTAGAGTCAGCGAGTTAGTAGGACCCAGACCACGAGAGGGCAGACACCTGAATTGATTCAGCTTTTCAAAGAGAAAACTTACACGACGCACATGGAAACTTCAAGTTAAATTTAAAAAGTACAGCTGACAGACTGACAAGTAAACTATGTTAGCAAGTGCCCGCAATTTTAAAATGTCTCACAGTACTACTCACTGACTGACTCACTGATATAATTGTTTGGGCTGAATGGAAATTGCGAAAATAACATTTACACATTTTTTGAACCTGCGGCCCTAGGGGGAATTCCAAGCCAAATGAGCGAAAATGGTTGTTTCATGTAAAATCAAAGTTAACTGTCCTGGAACGGACAGTGACCCATACTCCCAACTCATAAATAAGACTCGGTAAACCCTGGGAAGCAAAGCGAGTCAAAATATATGCAATGATGCAACGATTGATGAGGAGAACATTGTTCAAAAAAAATTGTTTGGAATTAGTTTGAACAGACCAGCAATAATTGGGTTCGAACTGGTTATTTTAGTGCTGGTTTGACACAAAAATAAATACAAACAGCAACCATCCAGTAATGTGGGGCAAAACATCTCATCGGTGCAGCCTGCGCAGAGCGCAGCACAGATAACTTATCCTTCTCTCAAGCACCACTCAAATTAAAAACCCCACCCCAGTATATCCACCTCGCTCTCACTTCCCTGCTCCAATACGTAAGCCAGTCCTTAATCTGACAGCATCCAACATGAAAGGTTATGTTGTGCAGGCAAGTGTGGGAGGGAGAGAGCGACCCCCTCCAACCCTCCAACCCCAGCCACGTACTCACCCGCAATGGTGTAGCGGTCCATGTAGTTGATGAGGTTGACAAAGCAGAGGATCGAGACGGTGACCCACTGCGTCAGGGTGATTCCTCCGCAGCCCCTGGAGGCCTTCATGTTGTCGTCCCGGATTGACACCAGCGAGGACGCGGCTGTGGATTCAAGACCGCTGTCGTTATCCTCGACGGCCGACATCAGCTGTTGGTGAGAGTTGTTGGACGGAATCCCGGCGGACTCCATGTTGAGGATTTTCAGGGAATGTCTGTCGACGAGTCTTTGGGCCGGCATTGACTTCGTACGTGACACTCGCGCGCAACGACGCAGACACAACACGGGAAAAGGGGAGTAACGCTCACTGACAGGCGCGCTCTGACACTGCCGCCATGGCTGCGTAACGGCAACTCGGGCTCTGGTGCGTCGAGTTTGGAGATACCGCCGCCAGAGAGCGCGCGACGCGCTGCGAGGGCTGCCAACTGTGGCGCAGTGGCACCGTCAACCTCAGCAGCCGCTTGCTGGCTTGTGGGACCCATAAGAAATCTAAGCTACACCCATGTTTAAAAAAATCATCCATTCAAGAACGGTGTAAGATTTTAGTTCTTTATTACACGCGATTACCGACCCAAAAAAGGCGTGTTTTAATTCCATTAAGTTGGATTGATTAGCCGTTGAATTGGAAGCAAAATTCAAAAAGTGTCATCACCCGTTAAGAGGCTATTTTTCTTACACTCAAACTCAGAATCAAAATTTTAAGTCTATTTTGACAGAAAGAATGTGATTTCAAAGCTCTCGCGGACTGTGCAATAACTGAGAGCTACTTAGAGACATACAAGACGGAATAATTTTCGACACTGGGACATTTTTTTCTCGTGAGCAGTTTGTCCCGCGCTATGCTTTTCATTCCGTCAGCGCTAGCCTCGTAGCGGGTGTAGCTTGTAGGGAGCGCGAAACTTTTAAACACCTATGGGAAACATGCAGTCCTAAAGAATTTGAGATACAGGCTAGAACTCTTAAAAGCGTTGTGATTTTTCCAAAGTCCCCACTTGAAATTATTATGGGTTATTTTTTTCAACCGATGTAGTGACAGTGAATTTACACTAGAGCGAAATAAGGAATCTCATAAGGCCACTGTAGAGACCTTTTGAAACTTTTAGAGCCTTTCTTCTAGACGACACAAAATTTTGTGAAGTTTTCGTTTTTCTCAAGTTTGCACTACACATATCACATGAAATACGCGCACATTGGGCGTGTCGCAGAGCTCGACGCAAGGCTTCACTCGACTTATTCAGATAGATAGCCTAGTAGGCCAGTGAAAAGGGCCAGTTTTAACTTGTTTGCACCTGGCAACTCATATCCCCCCCCCCCTAATTGATCTCCCTCAGTGACACCCTTCCTTACTTGGGGTGGGCCTATGCCCGACATGTTCTTCGAATAATCCCATCATTGCTTTGTATGGCCCCCGCGACCCAACCCACCTTCCAGCTGTTTCTCCACGGAGAGCTTGGAGTCCAAATCCGTGAGAGGTGGCGATGCAGAGTCCGTCACGTCGCACGAGCCATACGAGAGGTCGGCCGCCGACGGTGACGGGGTGGTCGCTGGGGTCGGCTCTCGCTCTGGCTGGCCGTCCATGGCAGCGAGGTGTGAGGAGGGGCTGGTGTCCTGCATCGTCCACTCTGCGAGTTTGACTAGAAGGCGTGCTCTTCGTGGCGCCGTGTCCTGCCGGTCCTGCCGCTCTCCCTGCCCCGCCACCGGACGCCTCGTGCAGTCAGATACTGCTTATCTGCAGAGGCCCTTGCCGCCGGCCGCCGCCGCCGGTCCGGACATACCGGCGGGGCCAAGCAGCCCCTATTGCCTGCCGACGGTGTCCGCTATCAGCTATTGCCCGGCACGGTGTCTGCTATCAGCTATTGCCTGCCGAGATGCCTAATCGCAAACGACAGGTGATTGATGCGGTTAAAGCCCCCCACTATCTACGTAGGAGTACGTGCAGCAGCCCGTAGTGGCTGAGCTTTAGTTGTTAGTGTACTAAAATTCTCAAATGTAACGGTTAAAGGAATATAGTA